CCCGGTCCGGTGCGGGGGCAACACTGAGGGTTGCGATCCGTTGCTGGACACGGAAAAAGACAAAAGACAAAAAAAAAAAAAAGGGATTGTAAAAAAGCTCTAAGATACATGAAAGAAAAGGTAAAGAAAACAACTTGGTTTACTTTTAAAATATGGTAGCCAATTTCTTCCTCTCATGTATGATGATTTTCTCTGGATCAAAGGTTTTAACTCATAACAGTCAGTTTTGTAGTTCGTGAAATTCTTCCTTTTTGCTATACTGTTCCTTAGTTTTACATGGATTGCTTGCATTATTCATTGAACAAGTATTCACTAGGCACCTACAGTGTGCTGGGCACTATGTAAAGTACTGAGGCTACGTACACTGATGGGTAAAGAGATGTGGCTCCTGATTTCAGGGAGCTTGTAGTCCAGTGGATGACGGAGAGAGAAAGGACTGCATGGGGGCATGATTTCTGCCATGAGATGCAGAAGGGGTGAAGAGGGGCTTCTGGGAGCAGGCTGCCTGGGGTCCAGTCTCTGTGTGGCTGCTTCTTAGCTGTGACACTTAACTAAGTAATTCCTTAGTTTTCTCTAAAATGGGGATCAAGACTAGCTACATAATTTGCAAAATGTACAAAATGAAAAAGCAGTGCCCTTGTTTGAAAAGTGTTAAGAATTTCTAGACGAGACAGCAGAGCATGAAACCAATCACAAGCTCTTCCAGGTGTGGGGTTATGTGCGACTGCATAGATCACCCAGGAAGCTGGCCCTGATGGGGATGATAATAGCACCTTCTGTAAGGACTGTTATGAAGATGAAATTGGGTAAGGTGCCAACAACAGTACCTGACATAAACACTTGATATTAGCTATTATTAGTTTCCTAATAATTGCTGTTCTTATCATTAGCAAAACAAATTGTCAATTAATAGCAAAGAAGTGTGTTAGAATTTTTTTAAAAAAGCAAATGTCAGTCAAAAGCTATCTATTTTTTAGGGCCGGCCTGTGGCTCACTTGGGAGAGTGTGGTGCTGGTAACACCAAGGCCACGGGTTCGGATCCCTATATATGGATGGCTGGTTAGCTCACTTCGGAGAACGTGGTGCTGATGACACCAAGTGAAGGGTTAAGATCCCCTTACCGGTCATCTTTTTTTTTTTTAAAAAAAAAGCCATCTATTTTTTTTATCACCATAAGGACTGATATTCTGCTTAGAAAACCGTATCTCGCCATTGGTTTGGGATTGCATATCAAAACAAAGCACAGTCTCCTGCTCCAACAGGAGAATCAGGGTAGCATTCGTGAGAGCCAGACTCATATTTCTAACTGCCTCCTGACCTCCACAGGTCCCAGTCTCAACTCGTTAGCTCTTCCACCCCTAAAATTGCCCCTCCACTTGTATTTGCATTTAGTCAGCGCCTATGTAGTGCCACACTTATCGCTAAGTTCAGGTGAGCAAGATGGGCAGGGCTCCTGCCCTCATGGGGCTACATTCTAGCAATTCCTCAGCCTAGCTGGTAGGTCAGGAGGATGCTGAAGCCACCAGGTTGGAAACCCCGCTGCTCTCTTCTCATAGCCAGCCTTGTGACCACCTCAGAAGTGATTCTCAAGCTTGCCTGCACTGGGCTGGACCTGCACTGGGCTGGACACAGCGAATCTCTGCTGTCACCTCCTTTTGCATTCGTCCTTACTTACTAAGATACAATCTTAGTCTTACCCAAGTAGACCACTAGACTGTGGGCTCCATGTGGGCAGACTCTTCCTGAACCACCTTGTATGTGCGCCTGCACTGGGCTGGACACAGCAAATCTCTGCTGTCACCTCCTTTTGCATTCGTCCTTACTTACTAAGATACAATCTTAGTCTTACCCAGTAGACCACTAGACTGTGGGCTCCATGTGGGCAGACTCTTCCTGAACCACCTTGTATGTGCCAGGTACAGTACTTGATAGTACGTGCACAGCAGCCATTGGTTGAGTGAGTCCGTGAGGGATTACAGACAGCCTCTCGAAGAACAGCACCTTTGGCAGAGTCAGTCACACTGTTTGGTGTCCCATGGAAGAGGACTTTTTACTCCAATGGCTGTTAACACAAGGCATTTTAATTTCCGTGTCTGTGGCTCCACTGCACAGTAAGCTTTTCAGCGACAAGCACATGGCCTGGCAGGGAGTAGGGGCTCAACAGGTATTCCTGGAATCAGGGACTCTGTCTCCTTTATATTTCAACATCTGTCGCAGTGTCTGGCACACAGTAGACAATCAATAAACACCGAAGTGACTCGACTGGCCCCTTTTCACTTCAGTTGTCACTCCACCCCCACTACTCCTGCACAATCAATGTGAGCCTGTCATGGTGAGGGGCTTTAGAAAACCCACGCATGTTTTCCCTGTTCTCTTGCCCTCAAAAGGCCAGAAGCCAGATCTTTCTTGATGATTGTAGTGTGGATAACCTTTACAAAAGTGGCTCTGCCTGTAAAGTATATCTAAAATACATATTTTTTCTGGAAAAAAAATTACAAACAATTCTCCTATTAGTGAAATTTTTACTATTCTGTTGTTCTGAATTTAATTATAAATATTAATTTCCATGACAAGCATGGTGTACTTTTATGCTCCTTTTATCAGATTGAGAATGTTTGACTTCAGTGTCGAGGTTGAAAGGGCTAATGTTAATTTTTGAGCTGGCAATAGGTTTTGTAAGTTGTTTGCTTGATTAACAAATATTTACTGAGTGCTTACTATGAGTAAGGCACTATTTTTCAGGCTCTGAGATTAAAAAAATATATACACATCTATTCAGCAAACACTTATTGAGCATTTACCATATACAGGTTCTATGCTGGCAGGAAGGGAAAGCAGGTGATAGGGAAAGGTCCCAGCTTGGTGCTCTTGGTGCCCTCAGTGGGCAAGAGACATATTCCTTGGTTAGGAGCTATGTGTCTAAGAGTTGTGAAAGTGATCTGGACAGAGTGGAGGGGGCAGAGGTGGAGAAGGGCACCGCATTTCATAGAGGAACATCTCTCTTTTGTAATAGTTATCTTTGATGTGTATCAAATTACCCCAAACTTAGCATTTTAAAACAACATGCATATATTCTCTTGTACAGTTTCTGAGGGTCAGGAATCTGGAGGTGGCTTGGCTGGCTGGCTCTGGCTCAGGGTCCTCAGGAGGCCGCAGTCATCTGTGAACTCCCTCACATAGTGGTTGGAGGGCCTCCACTCCTCGCTGGCTGTTGGACTGAGGGCCTCAGTTTCTTGCCACTTGAGCCTCTCCACAGGACTTCCTGAGTGTCCTCAAGACATGGCAGCTGGCCTTCCCCAGAGCTAGTGACCCAAGGTCGGGGGAGAGAGAAAGAGAAAGGAACCCGCAGGTGTTTTATAACTCAATCTCTAAAGTGACATACCGTCACTTCTGCCATATTCTATTGGTCACACAGACCACATGGTAAAGTGAGTGTGGAGGTTGCACAATGGTGTGAATGCCAGGAGGTGGGGATCACTGGGGCCATCTTGGAGTCTGGCTACCACACCCTTCTTCTCTGGCTGGGGACAGAAGAAATATGCACAAGTGCCTGCCATCTGGTGTACAGCTCTTGCAGGGGTGGTAAGGGCTAGAGTGTGCTGAGCAGGGCAACATCCCTGGCTAACATTCATTTAAATGACTGGTAGGATTCCTTCAGGGGTAAGTAACGTTGGAGATGGTATGCAAACCTAAACTCCATTATGCACAATGTGTAGTGTTGCAATATGTGCTTAATAACCTAGAATATGTTATATAATTAAAACATTTACTAATACAATTATATTAATATAATATTGTTATATATAACATAATAATTTTATTGTAATAAAAGAAATTGAAATTTGAGAGTTTAAGAAAACCTAGGTGAGATATTTTCTAATAATCAAGTTTTAAATTGTTTAATTGTAAATGTTAAGCAGCTTTCAGCCTAAGTCATGTGCTGTATCTTATAAGATGGCTCATTTGGCTAATATAAATTAATTAATAGCTAAATTAAAAAATTTTGTTTTCAGGTGTGTTTTGATTGTGGTGCCAAAAACCCCAGCTGGGCAAGCATAACCTATGGAGTGTTTCTTTGCATCGACTGCTCAGGGTCACACCGGTCCCTGGGTGTTCACTTGAGTTTTATCCGGTAAGTGAATCTTGTTTCACTGGGGCGGGAGTGATTACATTGTTACATAGGTGTCCTTCCCCTTTTTTCTTTATGTTTGCTTTGATATCAAGTAAAATGACAGGTTAACCTTCAGTTATGGAGATTTAAGTCTTCTATCATTATGTAAACTGGGGAAATGAGTTATTTTCTATTCAGTTACCATTCTGCAGAGCTCTGTGTCGGGGACACTAGCGGCTGTGTCAGAGACAAAGTGAGAACAGAGGGTTTGGAGCGGCGTTTCCCTTCTCTTCCGTAAAACGTACACACTCATGCCAGGGGGACTCAGGTGTTGTGAGCCCATCGCGCACCCCGTCCAAGTGGAGAGTTCATGTGAATGTGGGAAGCCCTCTTCACATCAGGGTTCTGCTTCCAGCACGATCCTACAGCTCTGGCTCCTGAGGACACTGATAACACAAAGCCCGACCAAGTGCATGATTTTTGTATGATTTTTAGTGGCAAGTTCAAATGTGAATAACATGAACGTCTTTCTTCTGCCTTTATCTGAAGACAGCCCTTCTGGCGAGTAATCTGTCTTCGACTTCTGACACTTTGGCCGTAGCCCATATGGGGCCTTTGTGTGCATGGCAGAAGGGTGCTACCTCTGGGCAGACACAGCCCTGCAGTCCAGTGGGAAGCAGGAAGTGCCTTTACATGAAGTAAAATAAATTGAAATAATAAAAGGATTCCCAGCCAGGCTTAGGGCTTGGAAGCTGAGCAAGGCTTGCATATCAGCTGCCGCAGGCCATGGCAGGGCACCTTTTGCAGGGCCCCGTGGAGCACTCATGGCTCAGACCCCGGTTGTTGCCTGCTTCCTGCAACCAGTTCACCTGTTCCCTGTCAATTCTTTTTTTTTTTTTTTTTTTTTTTTTTTTTTTTTTTTTTTTTTTTTTTTTT